AGAGAGAGAGAGAGAGAGAGAGAGAGAGAGAGAGAGAGAGAGAGAGAGAGAGAGAGAGAGAGAGAGATAGAGATAGAGATAGAGAGCGAGGAAAGGAAACGGTGCATCGACGAAATTTATGGCAAAGTGTAGAATGAAATGTGAAAATGGGTTGCGAGCAATGCAATAGATCGCTGGTGTTATAGGCAAGGGCCTGGCCAGTGTTAAGCACATCATCAGGGTGTGTCGATATATGTGCCGATAGAATATGGTTGCGATGTGCGCACTCACACACAATAACATCTCCGTCTCGCTCTCTTCCATTCAATTGTGCGCTGTGTGCATGCACATTTTTGTCTGTCTAGCTCACGAAACAATTTATCTCTTGCGCTTACGTGGTTATTTCCATTTAATTTTTCATATACAATTTTATAGTTGTGCGCGCCGTTGTCCGCGGCTGACACAAGAAGGAAAACTGAGCGCGCGGGCAAAGGAAATGCGCACAATCATTAAATTCTGTATGCATATAAAAATGTGATTTGAATGCATATAAAAAAAATATTTGCCCCGGCAAAAATGGAATCATCGACCAGAGACAGCGTGTATGTGCATGCGTGAGTGTGTGTGTGTGTATGAGAGAGAGAGAAAGAATGCGCGACGCGCACAGGAGGCAAAATGAACAGCAAACGATACACACAATGTACACACTAGCTTGAACGGCATCAATATTGACGACACAAAAAACATATGTTCATGAAAAGCAGTAATAAAACATAATAAAAGAGGAACGAAGAATGGGGAAAAAAGGAAGAAAAAATAAAATAAAAGAAACACAACAAACACCAAATTGTGTGTGAGTGTATTTTTTTCATTTTTGATACTTCTTTTGCTTGCACTGTTTCTCTCTCTCTCCCGCTCGGTGCTCTCTCTCTCTCTCTCTCTCTCTCTCTCTCTCTCTCTCTCTTATTTTTCAGCTTGCCGTACACACATTATTATTTCGTTCTGGTTTTCTAGTGTGTACATCTCAAAATGTGCTAGCAGTTGAACGACGACCGTTCCACACCGAACAACATATAAACAACGCCACAACGACGAAGACGACGCTGAATAGTGCAGCAGAATTAAAACCCTAGAACTGATCTCTGTGTGTTTGATAGTGATCATAACAGGCAAATCTTACTATTCATTATTCATTTGGAATAACGAATTCGATCGGTGCGATCGTACACAATCGGTAACATCGATCCGATCTGATCCAGCAAAGTTCGTTATTTGGTTGCTTTTGCATATGCCATTCGGCTCACCACAAATTTGGTTGCTCTTTTTTTCTTTTCTTTTTTGTGCTCGCGAATTCGGCTTGCATAGCAGCAGAAACACGATACATATGGATTGAGAGAGAAAGAATGAGATAACCCGAGCAAGAGACGAAGAAGTTTCAATTTCAAGGCAACAGACACTCCAGAAAAAAAAACAAAACAACACAGAAAAAAAATGTCAATTTAATCGAAGAGTTGATTCAACAATGATCAACGGTCTTGTGAATGGTGTATGAGTGAGTGAATGTGCATATGTTTGAAGTGGTCAAACGAATTTTCGGCGGTGTTTATCGAATGATCGAAGAATAACTCATTTGCAAAACTGACGAAAAAAAAAATAAACGAATGAAGAAGAAACAGTTCGTTGATTAGTTCGCAATAAATCGAGTGAAAAAGTATTAGTTCAAAATAAAGCGGATCACTGACGTTAGCAAATATTTTAATGAATGTGCGATTTCGTTTTTGCCGAATTTTCTAAAACCGACGAACTGTTTTTTACGTTCTCGCATATTTTCTTGCTCTGCGTGCGACAGTTGATATATGTGTGAATTTTTTTTTGGAGAGCTGAAATATACGAACATCGATGTGTATGAACACACACACACACACACACACACACACGCATTCAAAGAGTCGAAAAAAAGAAACATCAAAGGCACAGAGCAGCCGGTGTGCAAATGCTAATTTAACTAGAGCCACGACATCGGCATATATATTCTCGTCGGTTCAAATGTAACCAAAAGACAAAAACAAAAAATAAACGGACCGAAGAAGAAGAAGAAAAAAAATACACTGAATTACGTGAATCGTGCCATTTTCACTTTCGGATTTATGATTACTGTATGTAAGCGCGTTCGCAACTGGACATACAATACAATAGACATTCATAAAGGAATGAAAATTTTTACACGCGATTCGAGGGTATGACAAGAAGAAATCTGAGTACGGCGTCTTAGCATATTTTTGTTTCACCGTTGTTGTTGCTTTCGCTTGTTGTTGTTGTATTTTGATTGGTGTATATGCTTCTTTTCAGCCTTAAAATGTACGTTTTGAACTGACCTTCAATGATCTACTGTTCCGCGCCCACATTCGTACTTGAAATCCACTCATTCATAGTGTCGTTTTGTGTTAATTTGCGCTGCTGCTGCTGCGGCTGCCGCTGTTGTTTTTAATATTCTTTGCGTATATTTTTACATCGAACAGACAGAGAGATTCTCGCATTCCCACACACACAGTGTGCATCAATCTGCTGATTTCATTCCACCGATTTAGAAAACAAAGCTTAACGTTTGCTAACCGTTTTTTTCGCTTCGTCTTCTGTACTTTTGTTTCGACGAAATCGTTCAATTAGAATACGAAAGACGAGATAAATGAAAAGTGAACCAAAGCGTAACGCAAAGAAAATAGAAAGAGAATTATCAAGAAATTGCTAACTGTCGCAAGTGAAACGAAAAAAAAAAAACAAAGAAAAATGTGTTATGTGGTGATAACGTGTCGCAGTTTGGCTTGGTTTTTACTTACATTGGTGGCAGATCTGTTTATTCTAACGGCCATGAAAACCCCAAAGTGGCTCGAAGGACCGCAACCATACATTATCAGCGATTCAGTAGCTGAGAATACGACCATAACACGATATCCATCCGTTGGAATAAACACACGGTTTGTCACCATTTGAAAATTATTTCGCGTTTTTTTTCTGTTTGTATTTAAAACGTGATTATTGGCATAAACAATAATCAATCGTTTCAAAAAACAAATGTCAACTAGCTAATTAATGACGCATTTATTCTAAATTCCAGTTGTGTTCTAGTGAACAAAGTCAGCTTCACTTGTGGCCCATTCGATCATGATGGCTTAACAACAGACAACGATCATTATCCACTGCCATGGAAATTTGCCAAAGTCTTCATAGTTCTTGGTTTTGTTATTATGACACTGACGTTACTGTTAACGATCGCAACATTCTGCCGTCAATCGATATTTGGCAAGAGCATTCACACCGTCACCGGATCAGCTCAAGCACTTGCAGGTAACTTGAGATGATGATTTCACATCATATCCAATACAGGGTTGTCAATTTTGCATTTTAAATAAAATCACACAAATCAAATATATTGAACCATTTTCAAAACATAAATCAGTTTATTTTATTTATTTTTGCAAAATTCTTCAAATCAAAATAATTGCACATTTATTTGTTCATTCTGAAATCTGACAATCCTGTACCCATATCACCATTAAATTCAATATAAAGCGTCACAATGCAGTTGGAATTGATCATTGATTGAATGAAAATGTGTTGTTTTTTTTCTTCAAAATTAAATGCTCAGCAATTTGTGTGTTAATCGCTCTGTTTTTGCATCCGTTTGCGTGGGGTCATAGTCGTGTTCAACGTTTGTGTGGTGCGGAATCATCAGCTTATTGGCCATCCGATTGCAAGATAGGTAAATTGAAAAAAAAAAAATTACACTCTAATTTATCGATTGATTTTTTTTTTTCATTTTCAAACCACTGATGAATTTTCGGTCCCAACCAAAAAAGAATTTTTTTTAGCAAACTTTTGAAAATTATCCAACCATTATTTAAACCATTGTGACAAACAAATTCCCTCAGAATATTTTAGTTTTAAAGTGCAACATAAAGTTCGCAACGGTTCATTTGTTTGTTGAGGAAAAAATATTCTTTCATTGAAAAATGCTTTGTGTTTTTTTTAGGTTGGGCGTTGTATTGCGCCATTATAAGTGTGATTCTTGGCTTTATTTGTGCATCGATGAGTCTAAAAGCTGAGTCGGCCAATATGAATATCAATGTAAAGAGACGCATTGAGGCGGGAGAACGATTGCTTTGCGTCATGTAAAAGACGGCACCAGCTTTGCGATATCGGTCAAAGCTGGAAGAGTGTGCTTAAAAAAACTGTACAATGTACATTGTACATAGGTTTAATTTGGTCTTCATAATGAAAATTATCTCAGGAATCACACACATGCACACATTTTGAAATATCACACATTTTTTACACCTTGCCATTTAAATGCACACGAAAAATCAAATGCACAATGTTTTAATACTTTCAAAACGTAAAAAAAAAAATTCGTTCAGTAATTACCAATATCATGAATTTAAAAATATCAATTGAAGAAGAATTTTGTGTTTTAGATTAAAAATTTTTTTAAATAATTTGGCATTTGCACCTTAAAAAATTGAGACAGAATTACCATTGAAATCGATTTTTCGTGGCATATTTTTTTTTTCAAATTTTTTGATTTTTTTCATACTAAAGGAAGTAAAAAAATAACCAACTGTAAGCACATTAAAACGCAACCCAAAGATGTTAAGAAAAACGGCATTTGCGACAAGCAAGTAAAACGAAACGAATACATATTGTCGTTCCGAAAATATGGTTTCACTTTGCAAGTGAAATTTATCGGGCAAACACACAATTCCTAAGAAATAATAGCTGTATCACTTAGTGATTATTTATGGTTTAATTTTTTTTTTTCTTTTTGATAAAATGTTTCATTGTAGTCAATGCAATTAACTTAATTTCTTTGTGTTATTATTCTCTCTTTTCTTTTTTGAATAACAACTAACAATGTAGAAAAACAAAAAGTGTCTTTCATTGAGTTCGTTTTGTTTTTATTTTCAAAAAGTTAACTTGATCGAGTACTATATTCCATTCGTTGAAGTTGATCTTCGTACGTTTGAATAACCATCCACCATCAGCGAACTCGCGCTTATCTCTGTAAGTATAATGCCATTCATTTATTAAAAGATATCTCCAGCTGAATGTGACACATTACCAATTACATTGATGATGAGTTGCGTGGTGTTGATCAATGCTCGGGCTATATTTCGACAGCTTTGCTTATCACCAAGAGAAAAAAAATTGAATGCATTCCCCATTTTCGAATGTCTGGTATTGCATCATTGCATCATACACGCACACTCATACACACTCACATTACAAAGATTATGTGTGCATCGCAAACGATTGAGACATGAAAAAATTCAGTTCAAATCCAAAATTTAAATGCATAACCATCTTTATTAAATATTTTTTCTTCTGCGTAAATCATCATTTTTCAATCTTTTAAAAGCAGTCAGCTCAATCTATACTGAACGAAAAAAAAAATTTGTCATAATTCAAAGTTTGTCATTGGCATTTGTTGTTTTTCTTCTTCTTTGAGTCAATTGGTGTCGCTCGATGGCGTTTCGGTTTTATTTTCAACGCTTTTACGTACGTGATCGCAAGCGATTTTTTCATCCTTTTTCTTTTTCTTCTTTTACTTATGCAATTTATTGTATGGGATCGAAGATCGAAATTTTTTCATAAAAAAAAAGTATAGAAATAAAACCATTTAAAAGTTGAATTAATTGTTATATCTTAAAAAGTTTTTAGTTTTTTTTATCCCAAAACACACATAAAATTAACTAGAAAATTTCATTCGATAAGCGATATCGTTGATTTGGGACTCCGTGCAGTTTTAACTTATTCAGCTGCTGGTGATTGATTCTTCTTTTTTTTTTTACACAGTATTGGTTTAGTTTTGCTTCATTTCATGGTTGAGTTCAAAAATTGTAAGATTAACATGATTTTCAGTAATAATTATTCAATGATTTATTAACATTTCAGGTGGAAACACAGACCATGAAATTTGAAATTCCATTTTTCGTACAAAATAAAAAGATGAATTTCTCTCAAAAAGATTACAAGAAAATGGTTCATTTGTTCATTTCATTGCTTTGTTTTTTTTGTTTTCTGTTTTTTGTTTTGTTTTCATTTTGTATATAGATTTTTGTGGCATTCCTATTCGTTTCTTTTCATTTTATTATTGAATTCAATTGAATTTTTACTGTTTGCTTTCGTGATCTTTTTTACCATAATTTTTACTATGTATTTAATTGTTTTTCCCTTGTTGTTTCATTTTGTTTAATTCTTTTTCAAAGTGTAATAAAACGAAAAAAAAAAATCATTTGATATTTTGATATATAATTTCTAGCTATCGGCTAATGAAGTGTAACGATTTCCTATAGAGACTGGTGCGTTTGTTGAAAGGTCGGATTCTCGTTGGAAGCGTGCACCTGATTTTACCTCTTCGAAGGCTGGTTCGTTCTTCTTTTTTCGAAGCTCCTCTTTTTTCGCATCGCCCAGCGTTGGGAAGTATTCTTCGTTGTTGATATCGGGCAACGCGTCCCTTTTTAGGCGCATCGGCATCAACGATGGTGCCCTAAGTGCCGGACTAACGTACCTACCCGTTGACGATGCAGCCAAACCGGATGCAGCCTTCTGTGATTTCGAGCTTTCTTTTTCGGCTTGACTATTTGCTTTGCCTTCGGCACCACCACCCGACACCTTTTTCCATGCACCCTTGTCACCATCGCCATCTTCACCGTCTCCATCGCTGCCTTCACCATCCGAACCCGAATAATCATCATCGTTCAATTGTACATTCTGAATTTTAAGGCCCGTATAATCTACATTACGTTCTGCTTCTGCGAAATCTCTCCATTCGTCCTCCTGAAAAGTGCATCATTTGTTGAAGAGAAGAAAAAATGAGTCAAAACCATTAAATTGTATCTAAATTGCATGGCAAAATATGTTTCATGTAATATTGGAATGGATAACAACACATCAAGTGATGACCAATCAATTCATGAGAGAGGGTATTTTAAATGAAACAAAACATCGTTTTGACCAAATAAAAACTATCACTTTCACTGCGTTCAACGTGTTAAACTATGAAACAATAGTCGCACATGTATGAACACGCAAGCACACACACACACACACACATCTACAGCATGTATACATATCGGAAACGACTTTACACACAATCGTCAGCATAGAACATATATAGATATATCCATATGTATATATTTATTGGAACATTTTAGAACACATACTTCGGGTGCATGCAATTGTTCGCCGCTCTCGGTTTCCACACCACCATCTGACTGCTGTGTTGACTGTGGTTCTTTGCGCGGTTTCACTACTTCATTTCGCTTTGTGGTGTCTTCCAATTTTTTCACAAATTCATCGGGTGTTGCAAATTTCTTGGATTTTGTCTTTTTGCGATCTTTTTTCGCGAAAAAATCATCCAAATCCGCCATTATTGATGTTCACTCGCGCTCTGCAACTTGTCCTTAATTAGTTGACGTTTTTCTTTCTCTTCCACTCACACACTCTCTTACTTCACCGATTCCGCTCTTTGTGTGGTGTTTTTTTTCTTCTTTCTTTCTCTCTTTTTCTTCTCTTCTTCTTCTTTTTTATACTGTCGTTCTTTCGTTTCGAACACCAAAGGGAACTTATTTTCTATCTTAACCACAACTTTTTGACCTGAAATTTATTAAAAAATGCGGAAAAAGAAAATTAATGAGCGCAAATCGATTACGATGCAGGATATTAACTAATTCACATAGCACGATTGTTGGAACAACTATTGCAATTACTATGTGTGAAATGATTTTTTTCTTTCTTTCTATAAGCTATATAAATTAGATTGCACGTACTTTCTGCACACTTGCGTTCCGCTGATTATCAATGTGGACTTCGATGACGTTCGTCAGCATGAAAATGACATTTAGCGCGAAGCGAGTGTTGCCATCTGGCGTAAAAATGACTGATTCGATTTCGCCGCCACGAATTTCTCGAACGTACTTAAGGTTTTAAGTACTGACCGCACGTTTTGTGTTTACGTTACTGCAATGGATTGTGTCGACAATAACGATATCATTGTGGATACGTTCTATACCAACCTTGATTTTTCGATATGTGATTAAAAATTAAAGTTTGAATTTTACTCGAAATCATTGTTGATGTGCCAGACTTTTGTTCAAACTTTGACTCATTCTGAAAACCGATTTTCTTTTTGAAAATCATCCACTTTATATAATATACACATGGTTCTTGTCTTTTTGCTGGTTTTTTTCTGTTGTATTTGTTTATTATTTCAAATCATAATTTTATTCCATTAAAATGTTTTACATGCTTGCAGCAATGACTCTCTTTCTCGATTTTTTCTTTCTGTTGGGATTGAGTGTGGTGTGCTTCAACTGAAATGATCATCTAAAGAAGATTTATGTTTTTTTTTTGTCTTATTTAAATCTAGGGCTGAGAATATATGAGTTAGAAGCTGACTGATCGCTATTGCACTAAATAGACAAAAATTGCGATTGAATAAAATATATATGTGTGTGTGTGTGTTGCTTAAGCACAACCACTTCGCAAATGGTGGTATTGTTTGCACAACCGAAATAATCAAAAATTGATCACTCTCTTAACAATAGAACTCTTTTTGCTTGTTTTGTTATTTAATTAAGAACTAATTTCATCAACTGATTTCACTATTCTATAGCATATGCTCCTATTATTTTATATATGTATTAAAAATAGATTATTTTTTTTTGTCATTTATCATAATATTTTGCTTAAGCTTAGATTGGATTAAAATTCACAAGTGCTGAGTTTCTTTGTTGACAACAAAAAATGAAGGTAATAAACCAAATAAATCCAACAATTTCTTGGAACCATACAAGAATAAACCTAATTAAAAAAAAATTAAAATGGAATGGAAAACAGGTTCCACATCAACTCTTTTGAGAAAATATTGCATCGCAATGCAATAAATATTTTTTTTTTTTTTACATTCTGAATGTAATTGCATTTTTACTCGTTAAGGAGTAAATGGAAAATTCAAATAAAATTAAATAATCACTTTGGATTTTTAAAATGAATGTTGTGAAACGTCACCGTCAAATAGGTGCTTGAGACATTATGGTAAAATGGTATTCAATGCAAACTCATCAAACAATTGGTTTTATTCATAAACAAAATATGCATCTCTTTCAATTGAGAACATTTTTTTGTTGTTTTCTTTTGATAAAGTGCCTAAAGTTTATCTATACATGGAATGTTTCTGTTTGAAATACATAGGTATATTATTGTAAATATTTATTATTTTGTTTTGTGTTTTTTGTTCATTCTTAAATCAAGACATTCGAAGAGATTTGTTTTTCCTTCCTCATTCACTGTATCTTCACTGAATGTAGGAAAATATGCCAATTTGATAATAATTGAGGCCATGCTATTTTTCATGTTTCAAAAGACGATGTTGACATTACCCGGGGAGGAACCACTCTTAACGGAAAATCTGATGAATTTAATTGTGGATGCGTGGCAGTATCACAAGAAATACTCAGTGGGTCATTGACCTTTTGCAACAAAAAAAAATCAAGTCGAACAAAGATTACATGGAATTAGAAGAGGAAAGGGTGAGTTTTCTGTTAGAAAAAGTACATATTCCACATGGAATTTTACATGAAAATTCCTGATTTTACCTTTTTCCCAAGAAAAACTATGTTATACACACATTCAATTTGGAATGGTAGCTCAATATATTTTTTGTTTGCTTTGTTATTGATTTCTTCTTTTTGTTAATAATCAAAATTTGATCCTACAAATTGTCTTAAAATACAATAATTTGTTTTCTTTGCTAAATTCAATAGATCTGATCCATTTTAAAATATTGTCATGTCATTCGTGGTATTTTGTGTGTTACTAAGTGGAAAAAAATAATAATTCGAATGTTCGGTTTGTGCAATGAGTGCGTGGGCTGAGGGAAAAAAATCATTTTATTTTTATTCAAATTAGAAATTGCTATGCATGTGCATTTTATTGCTATATTCTTTGACTCTATTAACTGGCAGCACTTTTTTCAGAGGCAAAAGTGTTTCTATTCTTTTTGTTACTGTTGTTCCACAACAAATATTCTGCATAAAGTGATGTGTAGCAAGTGACTGAAAAAAATGAATGAAAAAGGATTGAAATGTGGATAAATGCCAAGGAAATGCAATCAATATGCATATGCCCTAGCACTTTTCTCGATTTCATTTCCAAGTGTTTGGTTTTGCTTTCATTCGATCTGTAGAATATTTCCATTTGGACCATTTGGTTATACATTTTTTTTTTCTTCATTAGATTTGTTTTTTTATTGATTACCAATTTAGATTCTAAAACAATTTATCTTTTAAATTGGTATAACATGTCAATTAATATCCAAAACAAAGCAATTCTAATTGCTGACAATTTTTAAAACGGCTGATCAAAAGCTAATCATCGGCTTTGATTGATATCATTTGGGCTGGAAGGGGATGTTGCTTTCTTTGAGTTTTGGTTTTGGCACATCATCGACAGTTCTATTTTGGTAATATTTTGTCTTCAGATTGATGTCGTTGAATGGAAGAGCCAAGATAATGGGATAAACTCCGAGCAAAAAAACGTCGATTTGCGGGAAGGAAGATAAAATTGTGCACAAATCGCGTGATGTGTTGAAAATGTGACAACTTTCTTTTCATTTTTCTAAAGTTATATGAAACATTCGTGAGAAATATTTAGATATTGTGTTCACTGCGATGAGTGAATCGGTGGGTGGAATTTATTACTTCCATCACACGAATCAACTGTTTTTTCTCTTGAAAATGTTGTTAGATTTTAAGACAAATATATATCAAGTGTTCATGGTCATGTAGAGAGTGTTATAGATTTAAAGTGATTTGTCAAATTTCTTCTTATCTTATCATTGCCTCTATTTCCATCACTATCCATAAGATTGACACAATTTCAATGTCTGTATAACTTATCTTTTATCTTCCTAATGTCCTATAATAATGTGTCGAAACTGAGCCAATTCCGAACAATTTCCCTTATTATTCAGAAGAATTCTTTACATTTAAAACTGTGAGCAGTTAAAATGTTCAATAATTGCCTTGACTTCGGCTTTTTTTTTCTTTTCCTTTTTTGGATGGACCATCGATGGTTATTTAACAATTTTCTTCATCCCATGATGATTTTTTATATGACTTTTTTTGTTGGTTATACAGAAGTATGTGCTCTGGCTATTTTTCTTTGTCTAGAAGCATGAATTGGTGCTCTCTTTCTGGAATAAATGCGTTTTTTGTATAAATGTTGCTTAGCGCTGGTTTCACTTAGAAAATATCAATTTCGTCGTATTTGCGATTCCAATATTCGCCATTGTATATCCAGTCCGTTAGATTCGTATTCGGATTAGTCTTCAATGCAAACCATCTGCAGAGAAAGTATGGATAGATTCAAGATTTAACAAATTGCCTCACTTTTTTTTGGTTTTAATTGTAAATTGCAAATTTTACTGACTTTGGCTTCCATTCTTCTTTTCTTGATTTCATCGCCTTTCGGGAGTCTCGTTGTTTTTCTTCTAGGCGCGTTTTTTCCAAGGCAGCACCATCAATGTCGCCCAACTCAAGCTTACGAACATCGGGCCGGAGTCGAGAGTCAGTTGAGCACAACCGATTTGGTGGCTTAATATCGGGCATTTCATTCAGTGTCATCGCAAACAATGTAAACTGATAGAACTACAAAAAAAAAAGAGTCGGAAATGTGTTAATGAAGGAAAACCGCAGAAAATCGCGTGGCGCGATAAGAAATACTGTATTTTTCTTTGTTTACTTCTGCTGTATTCGGTGGACGTGGTTCAGCCTCCCAAATCATTTCAGAGTGCGGTATATCGATTGAATAAGTTGAATCACATTTTGGGAGATCGCCATCAGATGGCTCAGGTGTTTCCTCCGGCTGAAAGTCATTACAAAGAGCAATCATTGATTGAATGGAAACACTCAAAAATGCTGTGTAAATGTAAAAAAAAAGTTGTGCATATACAATACTCACCTCCTGTATCGATAAGCTTCTGAATGAGCTCATTTTCAGGCTGTTCAATTTCGATAAAACTTTGCGCGGTGTATGTGCCGGTGATTCATTTGGGCTTTTGCTGCGCTCGCTACGCCGGAATTTGTGGGCATTTTCCTTCAAGTATTCCTCGTACGATTCATAATCGGTGCTCTTAATAAACTCCGTCCATTTTCCGTAGATGAAGCGCACACCTTTCTCGCTGCGTGATCAACAAAATCAAATTGATGAAGGAGGTTAATGGATATCGATCGAATGAAACAACAAGTTATTTGTTGAATGGTGCTACAGCAAGGAATCTAAAATGTGTTGCCTCAGAAGAAGCTCAAGTTAGTCGCTGAAGTGAAATTGTACTCACTTTTTATCATAAATGGTTCCTTCGACACGATGCAGATCTTTTGACGCCCAATTGGCTGGTTTGAATGACAGCACCGCTTTGATGCCATTTGTTTTATTCGTAATTTCCATTGTACCGTATTGTTCGATCCACATTTTGCCAACGATTATATTATGAACACAGCAATTGACATTCGACCATGTGTAGGCCTCGTTCCATTTGGGCAATTCAACGGTGACAACCCCTTTTGGTTGAATTTCCACGCTTTTTCCCCAGAATTTTAATTTCGGATGAATGGCACCGCTGAACTTAAAGTGTGGTGCGTCAGCATGAAATGCCGATACTGGTGGATGATGTGACACTTGCTCGCAAATTATTCGAAAATCAGCATTCTGGTATTCGTATGTTTCGCCCAACAGCGGATTGAATGGTTTACCCAAACGTTCCCAATTCGATGCCAATGCTGATACAGCAAAGCCTATAGTATTTTTTTACGGAAAGTAAATCGAAAATGAATCACATCAAGCTCAGATCGATTTGGATTTGGCCAATATTCAAAATGTCATTTACCAGCTACATATTTCATACGTTCGATGGGATCCTCTTGTTCGGCGGCCAATCGCAACAGACGAGCATATTCCATGTATTCCGTCATCCGTTGAAGGAAGCTTAATGGTTCGTTAAATATGACAGGCATTGTGATTTTGCTCAATTCTTTACCGATACAATTTTTTAGAACAGACCAAATGCTGAAATCATTGCGTGAGAACATGGGCGAAGGCAACGAAGTTCTGTAAATTGACAATTAAATGGAAGATGTAAAGAGGAGAGGAGAGAAAGAGAGATATTGAGAAAAAAAAAATAACAACAACACCAAGATGAGAAAAATAAATAGAATAACATTCTTCATTTGCCTAGAACGAAATTAATACGAATTAAATTAAATTAGGTTAAGATAAGCATGTGTCGATAAACGTAAATTAGTGTGAGATTGGGGCTTTATTCAATTTGATTCATTCCAGATATATAGTTCGATAAAGCCAAATAAAACTATTTAGATTTCGACTTTGGATGCAACAAAAATGAAAATGAACACATCTGAATATATCGATGCAATTTTGTAAACGATTTTTTTTTTGGTGCAAATGATACGAAACATTTGTGAAAATATTTCCCATTTTGTGTATTAAAAACGTGTTGTTTGGTTCCAGTGTGGTCATGTCTTCCTAAATCTGCATCTAATTACGCAATACTTTCTAAGCTAAATCACTAACAATTGCAAATGTGATTTATGCCCATCATGGAAAATGAAAATGGAAAAAAAAATGAATTGACATTGAAATGATTAAAATATCGAAAAATGAAATGTCATCATAACAAAAAAAAAAACTGTCAATGCAGATCTTTAAGCAGCGAAATTTGAAAATGAATGGATGAAATGAACATTTTTGGTGTTTTTTCTGTCTTCAATGGATGATTATCAAACATAATTTAATGACAAAATTAAGCTACCACTACTCGACAGAATGTTTAAAAAAATTGATAAAAATCGCACTAAGCTTTGTTTTTCACATTTAATTAAAATTGGATCCAGTTTGTCTGCACTTGAATTCAAATACTCAAATTTGGAAATACATAACCGTTGCTTTTTCTTATGGTTTTTTTTTTTCTTTTATGAAAGTTTGTTTGTTTTGACTAACCGATGATTTTTCATTCGAACAAATAGCTAAAATTCGTCTGAAAAAATATGTCTTGAATATGCCAATGGATACGAATGCAATAAGAAGAAATTCATTAGGCACACGATTGTTTTGATTTGGCTGCTCTTTGGTTAAAATAGTGGCGAAAACAAAATGACGATTTGGTGTGAAAAATGAAAAGAGCAATCGTTCGCATTTTCCATCGAAAAGCGTTAAATTAATTAAATATTTATTATTGGCTTTCGGTTTTGGATTTCAAAAAGTGTGTAGTGTGTTATTTACATAGCCACGTGAAGTGTGTATGTGTGTGTGTGTGTGTGTGTGTGCGTGAGAGAGACTAAACACTGAACACTTAAGTAGGCATTAAACGGTTAGTGTTAAAATGAAAGGAAAAAAACAACAAACAAACAAATGGCACACAAAAAAAAGATAAGTAAATTACAGCATTATTTTGTTTCTTTTTGTTTTTTGTTTGTTTGAATGGAAAAGAAATCACCTGTGCTGACAAACAGATTTTTGCTCTTCATCCTGGTAATTAGCTTCGGCCATAATCTTGAATGGATTTTTTTATTTGATTTTATTTCGTTTTTTTTTCTCTGTGTGTATTGACTTGGCTTCTCTTTTATTTCGATTTGAGTTCTTCTGAGTCTGAGAATTGATTTTTTTGCCTCCAAAAACTTTCTCTGTTTATTTGGTTGTCTATATATCGAAATCGTGCGTTCGGGTAAATCAGAGATATTGCATTTGTTTTGGTTCGATTGGAAACTGTTTTTTTCTCTTCAATGTTTATCGAATTGAAGTACAATTTGTTATGCAGTTAAAATTGACAACAGACGATTGTGATCACAATGGTTCGTTCAAAAATAAATGGTTTCTGATTTTTTTTCTTTTTGTATATTTATGTTTTATCTGTGAATATTATCGAATTTAGATACACTTGATGATTGAATTACACTGTCTCTGTAAGATAGAATTTATTCAATTAGATTTTATTGTAACTTTCGTTGAAAATCCAATAACAAGAATTTATATTGTTCATCCAAATTGAATGGCAATCGGTGCCTTTTTTATTGTGCCGAAAAACAAAATGAGAGACAACGGATCGTAGCAAACATAGCATTGAAAATCAAACGAAAATTTATTGAAAATAAATTTTGCGTCGCCCGCAAATAAATCGACAGGTATTAATTCATTCGACAACTACAATCAATTCAAACGAATCCGCCTTTTTTGCGGCAAATTTTATTTGACCTCTTCATATAGCGCTTATGTTTTAAATACGATCTCACATCTCGTTATCAAAGTGTAAATTATGATTTGCGCACAACAATGAAAACACAATTGTTTCGTTGTTAGTATCTATAGAGTGCTTTGTGTGTGTAAGCTGTGTATATAGTGAGGAATTATATTTGTTATTTTCCGTCTGAGTGATTCTGAAAATGGGCAGCGTTTAATTTTTTGTCCATCTCTTGTTTTTCTTTTTCTTTTAATTTCCTGTTTAAGTTCATCAATGACAACGCAACGCAGCTCTTTTGATAGATCATCGTCAAAAGTGGAATACATATCTCAGAATGTAATTTTTTAAAAACGCATACAGCGACTACTGCAGTAAATTGGCATAAAACGGAACACATTACACATGAAATCAGCTATCAACATAAGTTTCATGTACTAAAAAAACCACACTTTTGTGGGGGAAAAGAACAATGACTCTGCTAGAATGAAAGATTGTTCAAGACAAGTCCAACAGCAACAACAACAGTAGAAAGTGTCAAATAAAATTTGCAAACTAGCACACCCGAAGTTTATTCATATAATTATCACAAACTCAAATGGGCCCAATCACAATAACTTAACTGAAAAAACTTCAATTGACATTCAATGGGTGATTATTGTTCACCGGGTTATTTGTATTTTTCCTTTGTGATTCGAAAACAAGAAAACCATTGAATTGATTCGTCTTTTCGGCGCAAACAAGAAACAGAAACTATTTAAACAAAATACGATCTTCTTATCGATTGGAGTTGAATCTATGAATCTAGAATTGAGTGGATTTGCCATTCAATTGGTGACGCCATCATCACAAATTCACTTTGATCATAGTCAGCACGACCGAACAAAAAAAAAAAAAACTGGCACAAAATTGATTTTCATCCTTTCTGCTAATGCATGTATTCCACGTAAATAGAAGCTATTATATTCCACGCGGGCGACAACATAAACTGTAAACAGAAGGTTTGGACAATACGATTGTTTGAAACGGGAGTAAAGTAGAAAAATACGACAAAATATCGCTTGAGTTATGACACACACTACCGAACGAACACACAATTCGCGTCGGCAATTGAGTAGAAAATTATTATTCGTTAGAAGTGAAGTCTGAACGGAGTGTGTGAGAGAGGACAAAAGCAAGCAGTTAGTTATTCGATCGGTATGCTCCTCTACTGAAATCGTGATAGATACTGGATTGTCAGCAGAAGTAATCAAAATTCGATGTGTTCTCACTCTCTCTGTGTGCACGACGTATGCCATCGCGCGGTCGCTGCCTCAACAACAACAAAAGCAAATTATCTATGTGCACACGAGCGAACTCAACTCAGCACACGGCGACTCTTCGTATCGCATCCAAGAATTTCGAATTCCGTGTTTATATATCTGAAGCACTGGCAAACATGTCTAAATGTTGAAGCCTTTATAAAAATATACATGCAAACATCGAATGCGATTGAAAGCAGACTTTGCACGCGAATCGCGTGTGTTCGAACGATCACACGGTAGCACATAGAGATGACATTCGATTTCGCGAGTATTCCATGTGTTTTGGTCTCTTGCCCGCGTTTTACATTCTCGCAATTGTATTCGTACCATAAAACAAACGCTGAATTTGAAACACCATCAATTGGCAATTTTGTGCTTGAGACTCTCACATATGCAGTCTACGAGATAAACACACATCGCGCGATTATCGGCTAATATGAGCCATACTTCTCTTGTTATTGTTTTGTTTTTTGATGATGACATGACGGCCAGCTTACACAATCATGAAGTGGATGCACTGACACCGTGTTATCAAACTCGGAAAGGTTTCATAAACGATTGAATATTTGCTCAACAAATATAGTCAGTACTTGGCAGTGAAATAAATTGAATTGAATTGAATTGAACATTTTGTGATTTAAGTTTGGGTTTGTCGAGGCCTGAAAATCGAAGCATTAAGTATAAAACGAAGAAAATGTGACTGAAACGATTTTTCAAATCTGCCAGTTCTCTGCGCCGTGGAAAAATATCCAATTTCAATGGTTTTGAGATTTTTGATTGAACCATTATATTCAATGTTGCCATTGTTGATACCCGATACAAAAATATAAAATTTGAAATGCTCATTTTTCAGCATTGCTCGCTTTAGAATTGCTCCTCCGATTTCCAATAATGGAGCACGTCATCGCGTCACACTACTACTTTAAAATCCATCATTATCAACACAAAAGAGCACAATCGACTAGGAAAGTTTCAAAAAATGGATTTTACTTTTCCGTACACAACGTGTCAAGGAAAAGTATAGGAATTGGTGCCGAAAACTTTTTTTCGCAAAATTAGCTTAGATCATCATAAAAACTCATGAAACGCGTAGAAAACCACTTTTTGTGACACTTTTCCGTTCGTGTGCCGTCGTTGTCATTGTCGTAGCTGTTTGTTAACACGATAACTCAAAAAATAATTGAGATAATCCAAATCTGAAAGTCCCAAAAGTGTTGTATCCAATAAACTTAGTTTAAGTTCGAAGATGAGCTATTTTCGATTTGACCCTGGGGTACTTGCCCTAAGAAAAACCCAAAAAAATTGACACTTTTGTATAGGAGGTACCTGTAAATCGACTCCGATTGGCTTCAAACTTTCTGGGATTTCATTTTTTGAAAGAAAAATAAGATTGTGAAAGTTTGAAACCAATCGAAATCGATTTACGGGTACCTCCCATACAAATTATTCGAAATTTTGATTAAAATTACCGATTTTTGGACAATTTTGTATGGGAGGTACCCGCTAATCGATTCTGATTGGCTTCAAATTTTCTGAGGTTTCATTTTATTCAGGGGAAGAAATAAGATTATGAAAGTTTTATGTTGATCGCATTTGCAGAAGTTTGATTTTTTGTCCTCAATTTTTGTCGAAATTTTCTTGGAAAAATTTGAGGGCCAAAAACCAAACTTCTGCAGATGCGATCAACATGAAACTTTCAGAATCTCATTTTTTCTCCAAAAAATAAAACCTTAGAAAGTTTAAAGCCAATAAGAATCGGTTAACGGGTACCTCTCATACAAAATTGTCGAAGTTTTAGTTAAAGTGACCGATTTTTCAATTTATTTTCTTTATTTTATTTTCACTGCCTTTATTTCAAGAAAATTCAGAAAAAATAACCAAAAGTACCAACGGACAATGCAGGCCAACGGTACGGAAAAGTTCGGGATTACCAATGCAATTCTTTTTATTGTTGGAAAAGTGATCAGATTTCGCGTTCTTTCAGTCATTCAAAGCACGTTACGCTCGTCGTCAACGTGGTATGAAAACCACAAGGGGATGGAGAAGGCAAAACATTGGCTTTTCATTCAATTAGGTAAATTGTGTTTCTATTCCATCAATTATCGTGATAAAGAAGGCAAATTTACAAAATCAACACGAATCGAAAAGTAAGAGGGTAGAATGAACTGTCTTTCAAACAGAGCAAAAAAGCAACATTTTTCCATCCATAGCTCATAGACTTTTTTTCGAAACGAAATATTTTTCAGGACTAATAATTGTTTTCGAAAATAAATTGCTTTGAATATCATATTCTGCTCGAATATGTAGTATATAAATTAATGGGCAGCTTTTGCAGGTTTCAAATATGTCTACTTTTATCATATTTTATGTTTTTATATATGTCTTTCACAAGCTTCCATTTTTTTTTATGTGACTCTGCTTCATCGATGACAGTTCATTTGAAATAGAACAAAGCCTAAAAGAAATATGAAATGGAGAGATTTTTTCCCCGTTGATTTTGAATAGAAATAAAACAGAAACGAAGGACAGTCAAACCGTTGGTTGAATTTGACTAAAGCCCATTGAAAAACGCAACGGAATAAATGAACACTTGAATGAAAAAAGTGAATCAAAACGAGAGAGAAAACTTTATTTTCCCAGTGTGTGAACCTCTGACCTAACCTTGTTATATTCGATGTTGCACACGTAAGGCAAAAGAGTAAAGAATTTTTTTTTACTTCCGTGTGCGCTTCCGCTGGAACTATCTCTTGCTCTCTCTTTATTTTTCCGGCCGTACATGAAACTGAGTCGCAAAATCGATTGAGATTGTATTTAATTTTCAGTTGGGAATAGATAAAAAGCCAACAACTTTCATATATGAAAGCATACTTCAAACACTTTTTATTTTGCAATATGTAATAATTTTATATACGACGCAGGTTTCGTGTAATTAATCGAAGTGAAATGAGCCTCGGTCATGATATAACCTTGAATACCAAGAATAAATGAACATAAACCAATAACAATGTAAGCCAAATGACCAAGTGCCAAAATTGAAAATGCCCACGACCGAATTATTTTTATCGCATATTTACGAGCAACATTTGTTTTTATATCGAGGATGTGGAACAACAATGGAGCATCATTCGGGGAATTCACTTTTTTCTTGTGGAATTTTTCGTCCACTATTCACAATGCGGTATGGTTCGAACAAAGGGTCCAATCGAAAATCAAGTGGAAAATATTGTGCACTTTTCAACACTGTTGTCACATCGTGAGCTCATGTTCGTTGCGCACAATTCCTTTCGATATTGCCAACCGAATTATTGAATTATTTCTCCCTTCCTCTCTCTCTCTCTCTCTCTCTCTCTCTCTCTCTCTCTCTCTCTCCCTCTCTCCATCTCATTTCGATTCTGTTTAGGCCTGCTTAATGTTTGAATGAGTATACAAGCTCAAATTAGTTGGATACGCAAATCAATCGATGGTATTGATATAACTTCTGTATATTTGTCGTTGTTGTTGTTCTTTTTCTTCTGACTCATTCTGTCTTCATCATTTTTCTTTCCAGTGTTGAGTTAAAGCGAGAGTCGTCAATCGAGACTGGAATGGAAGTGGTGCATTTTGGGCGAACAGACAAATGTATGACCGACACGCAATAACGGAAGAGATTCCTTTTATGTTAGTGTGTTCTAGTCTTGTGCACAATGGATGATAATGACAATAACAAAAAAAAATGACAGTGATGAGGATGAAAATTATGCTTATGATGAGGTAAATAGGTACTGGTAAGTATATGGTTGTGTTGTGTGTGTTTATTTTTTTTCTCTTTTCATTCTATTGTTGTTTTTCGGCGAGCGAAGCAAACAAAATGGATATGCAATTATCAAACGTAACATATAGAAGAAATATGCTTGATGGGCAGAAATATAGACAGCAAATAGCCACATTCACCATTTACATGTACACGAACGAACACTGATAGAAACACATGACAACACACATTTTCACGATAAAAACAAAAACAGCAACAACGATATATGTAGAATATGGTATGGTATGGAAGAAGAAGAAAGCGGCTCAAAAATGGGGAGGAAGCAAACAACAGGGGATAGGCTATTAATGCATATACAATTCTAAAATATCATACAATACGTTTTGTGACCACGACAGAGAGCGGTAGAGAGATAGAAATAAAAATGTTTTGTGTCAACTTTGAAAGTTTTTATGCAGTTTTAGCGCCATTTTATGCCCTTACGCATATTCAAGCATACGGCACGAACGAATGCGGGGGGAAGGGGATTTTTGATCGGTAGAGTCCACTCAAAGTGGCTACAATGAAATCCGTTCATTTCCTGTGCGTCTAAAATTGGGACTGTGACGTGATTCATTACGGCCGAAACTTTTCCGTTCCAATGGACGACAGAAGTCTAATGGAGCATTCGTCTATTACATCCTGTCGTACATGTCACAATTTCATTATTGATGATAGTCCGCTCCAAAATCGACAACGAAATGAACGTATGTAAAGAAGATGGCATATTCTGACTTAAGTTTAGTTCATATGGGCAATTCAAACATTTAAATTGATATTGCATGTTTGTGCATGAAATAGAATCCAAATTTATTGCAGGAATGCAATCAGAGGGGATGGTTATCATTACAACAAATGGAAAATCGAGCGAAAGGATAGAAAATAAAACAGAAAATCAAACTAAAATAAATGCCAACAACAATGGAAATCATAGGATACAAAATTTAAAATTGATTTGTTTTTTTCGATTCACACATACACTGAGTCGGAAGTAGCGATTCATCGTGATCATAATGTCAAGCATCGTTCTCAATTATTTATTCTGCGCTCTCTCTCTCTCTCTCTCTCTCTCTCTCTCTCTCTCTCTCTCTCTC